CTGATCTTTATAATTTCCTTCCTTGTACTAGCTTTGGGTTTGAGTTGTTCTTATTTTCCTAGAAGCTTCAGGTGCATGATTAGGTTATTTATTTGTATTTTATCTGTTTTTCAGATTGGGGCATTCACAGCTACAAAATTACCTCTTAGGACTGCTTTCATTGTGTCCCATGAGTTCTGGTATGTTGTATTGGCAGTATAATTTGATTCTAGGAACTGTCTTATTTTTTCCTTGATTTATTCTGTAACTGACTATTGAGGAGTGTATTTTTTTTTTTTTTAGTACTGGGGATCGAACTTGGGTCCTTGCGCCTGTGCAGCAGGCTGCAAAACCACTGAGCTAAATCCCCAGCCCCCTTGGGGGCTTGTTGTTTGAGTGTGTTGTTTAATTTTCATTCATTTGCATGATTTCAATGGTTTCTTTTTCCATTGATTTCTAGTTTCATGCAAGATTATCTATAATGTGTATAGGATAATTTTGATTCTTTTGCATTTACTTAATGTTTTATTGGCTAATATGTGACCCATTTTGAAGAACATGCCATGTGCTGCTGGGAAGAATATGTATTCTCCTTTTGTTGGGTGCAACACTCTAGATATCTATTAAGTCCATTTGTTCAGGGTTTTGTTTCAATTGTGACATTCTTTGCTGATTTTTTTTTAGTTGATCTATTTGTGACAGTGGGGTGTTGAAGTCTCCCATCATAATTGTGTTGTGTTTATCTGGTATTTTATCCCCAAGGGTGTTTGTTTTATGAAGTTAGGCATGCCATTGTTTGGATTGTATATTATTATAATTGTTGCATTTTCTCTTAACTAATATGTAGGGACCTTCTTTGCCTCTTCTGATCAGTTTTGGCTTGGAGTTCACTTTGTCTAAAAATAGGATAGTTACACCTGATTTTTGGGGGATTTCCATTGTATGGAATATGTTTTTTATCTTTTGATTTTTAGTCTGTGAATTCTTTTTTGATTAAACATGTTTCTTGTATATCTCATTTTGTTGAGTTTGTTTCTTCATACATTATGCCAATCTGTGTCTTTTGGTTGGAGAATTGAGAACATTGACATTAAGAGTTATTACTAAAAATTATTGACTTATTCCTGTCATTGAGTCATTTTCATGTTGCTGATTTCTTTTTTTTTCCCCCTTCTGCTAAATTGGTCATCCTTCTTAGTGTATTCATGCTACTAGAGCTTTTGGCATTGTTAGTTTCATTGTCAATTTCTCAGATATCCTTGAGAATTGTTTGTAGTGCTAGTCTGGTTGTCATGAATTTCATGAGGTACTCTGCATCAGACACTTCTGCCCAGTAGTAGCAGGCTATAGCAGCACAAGCTTCTTGCCCCTCCATAATTTGGCTGTGTTACATTGGACATAGTCCAATAGTCTGAGTTCATTTCCATCCAAGGTCAACTGACTTCAACTAAATTCTTCCTTTCTGAATTAACCTTTTGTTTTCTTCAGCAATGATATGCTAGTGCCCTCATTCTACAGTCCTGCCTGCATGATACTTGTTATCAGCAGGTGTCCCAAGGCCTCCCTGCTTCCTCCCTTCCCACACTGGTAATGAATAGACACTGGATGTCCTGGGAAGTCTTTGTCTTTGCTGCCCAGAGCAGCTTAGATCAGCCGAAGACTAAGTTTCTCTTAAGTCTCTGTTTCTGTGTCTTTATTTCCCACTTTCCTATCTAGCGGATGTGGTACTGGCTTGCAGGAGGCCAGGACCATTGCAGGGGTCTCTGGTAATGTCCCCTTTCCCTTTTCCTGTAGTATTTTCTTTATGGAAATACCTTTTGCCTCCAGCAATTTTGAAAGATATTTTTTTCAGGACATATAAGTCTGATTTGGAATTTCTTTTCTTTTAGAGCTTGCAACACTTCACTCCAAGCTGTCTTAGCCTATAAAGTTTGTGTTGAGAAGTCTGTGGTAATTCTATTTGGTTTACCTTTTTAAGTGATTCATTGTTTATTCCTAATAGCTTTTAAAATTCTATTCCTCTGTTGTACTTCTGGAATTATGACTATTATGTGTCGTGGAGATGTTCTTTTTTTATCTTGACTATTTGGGATTCTACATGCTTCACCTATTTGCATGTTTAATTTTTTCTTTATATTTGGAAAGTTTTCTATTCTTTCTAAACAGGTTAATTATGCCATTTATGCTGTCCTCTAATTTTTCACTAGTTGTAATTAATCTTAGATTAGTCTTTGAGTCATCCAGAAGGTGTTGTATCCATTCTTCATGTTCTCTTCTCACTTTCCAGGTGTCTCTGAATAACTGGTCTTCGACTTCAGCCTTCTAGTTCTGACATTCTGTCCTCACAATGCTGTCCATAATTTACTAACATTTTTAATCCCCTGGATTTCTGTTCGGTTTCTTTTCATGAACTATAATTGTTTGCTAAACTGGTCTTTTGTGTTTTTGTATTATTTTGTTTAGCTCTTCCAGTATTTTATTAGTGCCTTCTAAAACCTTGTTGATCATTTTATATGTTAAGTCCATTATCTGTTTAGTTATTTTTTCTTTGAAGGCAGCTAGTACCTAATTGATTTGTTTTTTCTAATGTTCTGTTATCCTATCAAAATATTTGGCCATGTGGCTGTTGATTTCCTTTCTCTCAGTTCTTCATGGATCACCTTTAGGGGAGTTTGCAGTTTTTGGAGGCATTTTGCTGCCTTGTCTTCTTATGTTTCTGAGGGTTTTTTTTTTTATTTTGGGGCTGATATTTTGGGGAGCTTATAGTGGAAGGACTTGGTTGATAGTATGAAGATCTCTTTAGCTAGTGTCTGCTTTTCAGTGACATAATCTTGGCATGGCTAACTATAGGCAATTGCCTCTGCCCCAAGGTCTGACCACCTCCATTAATTCGAGATGGGAAGATGCAGTGTAACTAACCCAGCATCCAGTTCTCTGGGAATGGATTTTAGTATTATTAGTAACACAAAAGCAATCTGGATATTGGCATAGAGAGAAAATCTGTTATTAAAAATCAATATGCCAAACTGCCAATAGCAAAAATATCAGCAACAATAATATCATTAAAGACAAAGTAGATACTGACATCACAAAAGAACCAATAACTTACCACCCTTAAGCATGGAGAAGAGGTCTATAAATATAGCATAAACACTAAAACAGTAAGTATTAACACAGTAAGTACTACTAACACAGTATCTACTAAATGGGACAACAAAATCTCCACTAACAATAGAAAAGAATTCAACAGTAATACCATAGAGTTATCTAAGTATCAAAAAATTTATAAAGTGTAATGGTTATACTAGGAAAGAAAGGAAGCATGAGAGAACGAAAGAAAAAAATTGAAAAATTAAGCAATGGAAGATAAGAAGGAGAGAAAAAGAGAAAAAGGATCCTATTAAGGAGTAAAAGGAAATGAGGTAAACTTAGAAAAGTGAGGCAGAATAGAACAAATGAGAAAAAGAAGAAAAAGGGAGAAAAAAATAAGACCAAAAAAAGGAAAATATTCAACCTGCAAAATTCCAGTGAAGAAGGAAGTGAAAATAAAGAAAAAAAAGAGTTCAAAAATTTTTTTCTCTGTAATTTGAACAAGTGATTTTTTACCAGGATCCACAGTTTGAAATACAGATAGTCATGGTTTTCCCTCCCTAGCCTTACTGCTGTGGGTTTGTGAGGTATCTTGCTATTGCAGATGCCCCTTTAACCACTAACTCAAGGGTATAGCAACCATCCCAGACCAGGCTTGTACTTGATCATAATGGTAGATGGGGAAAAGCAATCAAACCTCTGATCTGTGCTGGATGTAGGCAGGAGGGAAAGGGTTCAAGCAGACTGTTGTACTCAGTGCCAACATTTTCAAACCCAGCAGTTTCTGAAAGCTATATAATAGGTTTTGCTTTTCATCCTGGAGGGCAGGATCCTGTTTCCTCCCTGGCCTGAGGTCACACTGCTCAGTGGGTCTATTTCTAGCCTGCACTCTCCAGGACTGTTTCCCATAGCTTTATCACCCAATTGTGTAGCACTTGAAACCCTGAAGTCAAGTTGTTTTTTAGTTGTTCTGAGGCTCAGTCTTAAATAATCACCCTTTTCCTGAAATGGTACCTCAATTAATGACTCTCTGGCAATGTTGCAGGCACTGCATTGGGTTCCTTATTAAACTTGCCTCCATGTAGAAGAAATCACTTTCAGAGTAATACCCTACACTGCTTTTGCTGTTTACAATAGCTGTGGAGTTTTCTTAGGGTAGCACTGCTGGCTCAATCTATTGTTTCTCCTTGGAGTCCCTAACCCTGGGAGCTTACTTTGTGTTTGGGGAGATGGTTTCCCCTCCTTGGGAGCTGCGGTAAGCTTTCAGACAGCTTCATTATTTTTTCCCTTTGTGTCTGTTATTTCAACATCTCTGTAGATTCTAACTTTCCTGTCAGTTCTTCCCCAATTCCCAGAAATACACTTCTCTTTTTTTCCTCTTTATGCTAAGTTGTTATTTTCCAGATGTCTATATTCCATGTCCCATACAGGGTATATTTTGCTATTTATCACTATTCTCCCATTTTGGGTCCCAGCAAAAGCCCATTTTTCTTACAGACCAATGGGATGTACAATGTTATCCATTAAATTGTAGTGAAAGCAGTTGCAATGTTCAACAAAGCTAGGCATATTCATCATTTGAACTGGTTCTGTTCTGAGATGTAGCATCAAGAAATATCACACTGCTAATGTACAGTATGTGGTCAGTTTTTTAAAATAAAGATTTTATAAAGAGGACTGCTCTTTTTTTGTTAATATGATACCCTAGAGACCTTAGGAAGACCATAGTTCTTGAAATATACCTTATAATTCCAACCATTTGGATTATTTTACATAGCTTATTAGCTATAAATAATCAAGCCCAGAATATTTCTCTTAATAATATCAAAGAAATACAATTTTCCAAATAATGAAATATCGAAAGAAAATCAATATTATTTAGTTTAATTTAATAATTTTTTTTGAAAAAAGGGGAAAGAAAGCAGGTTTACCTGAATGGTCTCTGTGGTGTAAATACTAGCTTGAAGACCAATGATATCATCTCATTTTGGATATCATAACATTGTGTGCTCAAATATAAATCCACAGTGGATTCCAAGTTAGACTTCATGATTTCAGATTCAAATTCTATTTCATACTTGAATACACGTATTTTGGGAACTACTACAAAAATCAAGATTAAAATATATTTCAATTTATTTAAATATGTATAGATTTAACATCAACTTGTATGTTAATATTAATCATGCATAGATATTTAGAGAGACAGTATATGTATTTTACTAGTACATGTACATTAATAGGTATATAATATTATTGTAAAGTTTTGTTAAAAGTAAATGAGTGAATATAAAACATAAATAAAGAAGATAATTCTCACTATCATTAAGTCATTACAATTCAAGCACGCAAAAACTAAAGTGAAACAAATTATGAATATATAAATTATGAAACAAATACTATCACATGTGCTCTGTATATGCATTAAAGTTCTATTGGTAAAATACACAAAGAATAAGGTTTAAATATTAATTTTAATAAAGTTTAAACAATACTGAAAGTGCATCTCAAACTATTTGACTTCTGGTATATTTTGATAAGAGGCTTTACTTTATGTTTTGTTTTTGAAATATTATAGACAATATGGTAAACAATATTTTCTCAGATTTTCAGAAAATTAACATTAGAGTTTTGTATAATGAGCATGAAAAATTCTTAAATCCATGACTATCATGTAGACAACAGTACTAATAAATACTAAATTTGCTCTTTATTTACATATAAGGATACAAAACTGCAAATAGAGTAGTTCACTGTATGAAGATCATGGAAGAAAGGTCAAAATACCATGAGTTGACCTAGTCCACAGTTGATCTAATTTCTAAACTCTCCTTCTGGTGTATAAAAGTAAAAGCTAGCCTTAGATTATGTAATTTGAATTTGGAACTGATAACTACTTTGAAGCAATCTTAAGATATACTGGATCACTTTTTACAAGTACATAATATTAACTTGTGCTACTGATAAACAGGTTGGGTATAACAAGTTCAATTTGCACTTAATTATTATTCATAGAAGTTTAATAAAATAAAATATAATACAGCAAGCCACATGCTCACAAGATCTCTTTTTTCTTTTTCCACACATAAAAATAAATCTCTGACCTCCTAAATTGCTGATTTTCATCCTTTGTACAAAATCAGAAATTTCTGTTCCTATCAATAACCATTCTATGATTTGACAAAATCTGTATCTGCATAAAATGTGTTTGTTTTGAGAATGGAACATGGCAATGTTTCATAAGAAGAAATAATCCATAGAGGGAGCATGACATTTAAGAATATTAGAGTCCTTTATGAGGTTATAAGATTTCCATTTTATTGAAGTATGATAATAAAGATTTGTTCTTTCAGTACTGGTGATCTAAAACAGGACCACATGCATGCTAGGCAAGAATTTTATCACTGATCTAAAGATAATTCCAGTTAAGGATTCAAATGACTGAATAGAGGAGGAGCCATGTTGTAGTTACTTAGAGAAAATCAACTAAAAACAAGGGTATTTGGGAGAAAGTGAGGGACATACATCCTGATGCCAAAATCAATCTGAAATAAGAGACTTGTAGATCAGACAAAACATAGGCAAAGGACTTTTTACAATGGCAAAGCAGCCTATAGGGTGCCCTGAGGGACCTCTGCCTGCATGCAGAGCAGAAACTGCCATTATGGGAAGTTTCAAAAAAACTGGTGGACTGCAGTAGCATGTCAAACTCAAGGCACATAGGATAGATTTGAGATATAAGGGGCCTTCTCTCTTTTGCCTTCCTCCACAGGATTTCTGCAGCCTGGCAGCAAATTTCACTGGCACACACACAATGGCACGTGACCAGGAAGTTTTGTTTTGTTTTTGTCTTTTAGCATAACAGCTAACTGGAACCTCTAGTGACAACAAGTTTAGCAACAGCACCGAGGGCATTGAAGGTAGTGAGTGGAACAGCACCACCCCTCCTGCACTGCTCCCAGTGGTGTGAGAGAGAGGGACATAGGACATACGCAGCCTTGGGCTGCAGCTGGACAAGTAGTAGGAAGTCAGCATTACTTCCACTCTGCTCCCAACTGCATAAAAGAGAAGAGAGAAGTGAGACCCAAGCAGCTTCTGCTATCTCTGCAGCAGCAGCAGCAGGGCCGGTGAGTCAGCCAACAGCACTCCCCTTGTCCTGTTCCCAGTGGCATGAGAGACTAGAGAGACATGTCAACAGAGTGGAACAGAGGAGGCTGTACAAGGGCTGCAAGGGGTCAACTGTACATGAGACTGGGAGCATCCTTGGGCTGTCTCTATCTGAGGGTATCACAGCAACTACAAGAGCAACACAGAGACAAACAGTAAGGAGGTGTGGGCAGGCCACTGAGGGACATCCAGAAAGTTGCTGGCTAAAGACTATGGCTCCAGCCCCAACATCAGGAGGCCAATATCAGCCCCACACCCAGCATTAATCCTGTACTACCCATTAAATCTGTACTACCCAGCACAGATTTGGGCTCTGACTTGGACACTAACTACTACAGAACTGAGGAAACCAGAGTAATTTTATTGTTTTCCTTTCTTTCTTTCTTTCTTTCTTTCTTTCTTTCTTTCTTTCTTTCTTTCTTTCTTTCTTGTTTGGTTGTTTAAGTTTTTACTTTTATTGTTTGTTTTGTTTTATTCATCTTTTTTCTCTCCATGCTTGGGAAATTTTCTGCCATATCTTCCGTAAACAGGTTTTTTATGTCATTTGCATTGTCTTCTTATTTTACATTGACTCCAATCATTCTTATGTTGTTCTTCTTTGCATCATCTTACAGCTTTTGCATTGATTGTCTATTATCCCTTGCTATCTTTAGCAAGTCTTTCTTTTCATGATTGCTAACTGCAATTTTGAAATATATTTCTTGATTTTATGATATTTTCATGAAAGTGAACATTATCTCTAGTCTCTTCAATATTCTTTTGCTTTCTCCTTCATTCTTTCTCTCCTATCTTCTTATTCAGTTTCTAAAAGGCTGGGTTATTATCTTTTGTCCTTCAACCTTGCTTCTACTACACTTCTCATTCATTTATTTTTTTCCCTATCCCTCTTAACTCACGCCCCCCCACACACATAGGGCAAAATCACTCCACTAAAGGGAAAGTCACTGCGTACAAGTTCCTGGTTTATGTTGGATTTTGTTATATAATAGTAGATCTTGCTCCTATGGTTAAAGATACCAAATTAATAGTCACCACAGTTTGTCAGTTTCTAGGCTGTGCATGATGCTATTGTTATTGCTCTCTGTACTACTTTAGCCAAGGTGTCATATCTGTTGTAATCAGTTGTTCTCCCCTTATATGATAACATTGTGATTGCCTAATCAACACCATAGTCCAGTACCAAAAGACTGGGTGATGAGCAAAATAGCCACTTCTCATCTCTAATTAATTGGGAAGGTAGGAACTTGGGACAGATGCAAAGGCCATCTCTGAGGAATAGACATTTCCTAGGTAATTTTTGACAGTAGTGATAAAGCTACCTACCATAAGCAATTTATGAGCATCAACACAGAAAACAAATTAAAATTTAAAAAATAGAGAATGACAAGACACAGAAGCAAAATGCAACCCCAGACCTCCAGGCCACCCAGGACAAGTCAAGGTGATGAGACAGAGGAAATCATAACCCACCCACCAGAATTTCCTAAAATGAGAGCTGTAAAAGAAAAAAAAGTAGAAAAAAGTAGTGAAAATCAGATCAGAAATAATCTTTCATGTAAAAAAAGAAATGATGATCATAATGAAGGATTTGCTCAGTGAATCTAGCGTAGACACAGATAAAAAATAGTGGAACTTAGGAAAATGATGGAAACCATGAATGTTCAACATAGAAAAGAAATGGAATCCATGGAACAGATTCAAACAGCTATCCAAGAGATTAAAAACTCCATAGAAAGTATACTCAGCCAAATGAACAAAGATGAGAAAAGAATATCAGGTCTAGAAGACAAAATTGCAAAAGTCCTACACCCAATCATGAAAAAAATCCTACAGAAAATTGGAATAGAGGGACTTTATCTCAATCTGATAAAAGCCATCTAGGAAAAAGCAACAATCAACATGATGCTAAGTGGTCAAAAACTGAAAGTTTTTACTCTAAAATCAGGAAAAAGACAAGGATGTGCACTATCACCACTCCTATTCAATATACTTCTAGAAACATTAGCCAGAGCAATTAGACAAGACCAAGAAATAGAAGGAATAAAGATAGGAAAGGAAGAAGTTAAATTACCATTACTTGCAGATGATATGATACTCTACATAGAAGACCCCATAAACTCCACCAAGAGACATCTAGATTTAATAATCAAATTCAGTAGCACAGCTGGATACAAAATCAATACCCAAAAATTAATATCATTCCTGTACACAAATAACAAAGAGAGAGAAAAATTTACGTAACCATACCTTTCACAATAGCATTGAAAAAATGAAATAATTAGCAATCTACCTAATAAAGGAAGTAAAAAATCTTTACTTTGAAAACTATAGTATTCTGAAAAGGGAGATCAAAGAGAATATCAGAAAATGGAAAATATCCCTTGATTTTGGGTAGGAAGAAACACCATAGTAAAAATAGCCATACTCCCAAAAATTGTTATACAGATTTAATGCAATCCCAATCAAAATACCAATAGCATACTTCACAGAATTAGAGAAAAAAATCCTAAAATGCATTCGGAACCAGAAAAGACCTAGAATATCCAAAACATTTCCAGGCAACAAGGACAAAGCAGGGAGCACCACAATCCCTGACTTAAAATTATATCTGAAAGTTACTGTGATAAAACAGCATAGTACTGGCAAAAACAACAAAAACAACAACAACAACAACAAAACAGATTTGAGGATCAATGGAACTGATTAGAAGAGCAGAAAAATATTCCAAAAAAACTCTGCCACCTTATCTTAGACAAAGGGGCCAAATACCTCCACTGGAAAAAAGACAGCCTTTTTAAAAAATTGTGTTGGGAAAATTGGCTTTCCACAAGCTGAATAAAACTAGACCCATGTCTCTCACCATGCACTGAACTAAAATCAAATTGGATCAAAGATCTAAATATTAAAACAGAAACACTAAATCTGGTGGAAGAGAG